CAGCCCGCAGCCCGCCTGGGGAGCTGGATGGGGGCACCACCAGCCCCCCCCCCGCTGGCCCCAGCCCCCTTACGGAAAAGGCAGTAGGTTGTGCCTGTCAGTGCCACTGCAATTCTAGGAGTGCAGTTTCAGCAGGACTGATGGTTCTCCACTTTATTATTGTCATTATTTAATTACAATCTATCTGTCACCATTCACTGCAATGATTCCATAATGTTGTCTGCACTTATTTTCTGTAAGGTACCTTCTCTCTGGGCTCTAAATACTAAAGTACCTTCAAACTCTTTTTAAAAAATCACTTTACCTTATTTCTTCAAGAAATTCTAGAACAACACTGTTTTTTCTTTCCAGGGTGGGTTCCCCCCCCCAGATCCACACTTCCCCACCCCGGGGATTCCAGCCACCAGCGACTCACCGGGGACCCTGGCAGCAGGCCAGCACCAGGTAGGTCACCAGGAACACAGCGCTGCAGAGAGAGACAGCAGGCGTCAGCCCTGCAAGCCCCCACCAAGACCCCCCTGGGGCTGGGAGGCTGTGATTGTGGGGTGCCAGCTGCCGGAGAGCACCCCAGGGGGGCATGAGCCGGCAGAACCCCTACTCACTACGAGGCGTAGTAGATGGCGACGTTCCTCTGGACAAAGGAGCGGACGGGGGAGCTGCGGGACAGGAGGGATGAGCGTGAGGAGGGGAGACAGCAACTACTGCCCCCCCGGGACACCCCGAGGGGACACGGGGCCAGGCTCCCCCCTTTTTCAGGGCAAGGCAAAGGAGGGACCCTCCACTCACACAAAGGTGAACACGGCAATGATCCCCACTGTCACCAGCAGCTGCAGGGAGATGATGGCATAAACCTGCGAGAGACAGGGGGCGTCAGCACCCGGCCCCCCACCCCGACAGGTGCCCCTCCACCCTGACGGGTGGCCCTGGCCCCCCGGGACTCGCCTTGCGGATGAAGGTGTGCCGGACTTTCCTGTCGTCCCAGTCGGCCGTTTGGAGGGGGGAGCCGTCCCCGATGCCATTGTCACCTGCGTTGGGGGA